TATACAGGTTACCTGGGCACTGAAAAAAATCACTGTATTTCTTGAAGTAAAATACTGCTTTTGAAAAATTCAATATATTGTTCTAACCCACGACACTGGCTCTGTATTTCTGCATGTAGAGAAATATGTTTACACTTGTGCTATTTACCTAGTTGCTTTTCCAGAGTAGATTAAAACATACAGACAAATAAGCATTCTACTAATACACAAATATATGACTTTATGTATTTAAAAGATTCTTGAAATACAAAAAAAAAACCTCGGTTCCTGAAAGTAGCCAAAAGGACATCATTTAGTTTCAGACATGAGGAAAGATATTTCAATGTCTAAATGGGATTTTGGAATGGTAGATCCTAGTAAGGGTAAGAAGTGTTCATGCCTGTGTTTCCAGTTCTTGACTGTGGTAAAAAGAATAGCTGACAACATAGATATTTTCTAAGTCAAAGGCTGCCTCTTTGCTCTCTGCATGCACTAGAAAGAATGTTAGATACTGCTTTTTGTGAGCTTTCCCTATAAACTTGGCACAGTGAGTTACCAGCTGTACCCTAACTCTTCAGCTTCATATGCTTGTTCAGATTTGCCAGCATCCATGTAACTGTGGTTATTTGTCCTTTTCTCTCAGGAAAACACCATGCTTTATGTGAGTTAGTCATTCATTTTATACCCTAGATGAATTCAAGATGAAAAAAGTTTTATCCTAGCAAAGCAGAGGATTTTTTTAATTGAATTGGAAGCAAGAAAGAAAATGCAAGTTATCAGTGTACCTGATACCAGTCTCCTGTCCTAGCTGCTATGTAAGGATTCTCAAATAAATACAATAGCTAAGGGTTAACGCCGAAGAACTCCATCTCTAGGATGCTGTCATTTAGATTAAGACCAAATTCAGGATCCCTCTTGTGCCAGTTTATTGAGATTCTACTACAATGATTTGGATCTACAAAGTGGCTCTTGGAAGCTGCATTCTTTTTCTTCCCCTCCCTGCCCTCCTTTCTTTCTTTTGCCTTCCTTCCCTATGAATTTACGGAAATTATTGTATTCGAATATCTGACTAGTTCTGAGAAGACAAGGGAAACACTGTTCAGGGTTATGTCACTGGAATTTACAAGGCTTTTCTGAAATACTGATTTCTCCCACCATGTGAATGAACCCTTCTGCTTAAGACATTCATTGATGTGCCATCTGACTTCTTGTCTGAGGCAGCACGGACTTGCATTATGATTATTTTGGCCTCACAATAATTCAGAACTTCTGTGTTGCAGCACATATCATCAGTAGAATGTTGTGACAGTCTCACAATGCCAGACACATTGTGTTACCTTTTTTCTTTTCATCTTTTTTAGCTCCGGAGACATCCTCCTGGCTCATCGGGGATGATGTCAGCTAATCTACATTCCTATCAAAAGAGGTCTTTGTTGGAGATACCTGACAGTGGGCTGGGTGAGGAACAGAGTGCTACCATCTCTCCCTCCAATGGAGTAGACAGAAGAACAACAACGCTATACAATCATTTCACATCAAAGAATGATGAAAATAGGTAAACTGAATAGAGTATTTATGCACCTCATATTACATTGGTACAAGTCCCCCCCTTGAGGGGGGGGTGAGAAAATAATTTCATATGCACAGAATGCTTGGTGACTGCTTTATTCCTTCTTTGTGGTTCTGATTACATTCAGTTGTCTTGATGGGTGGGCCTCTATCTTCTGGCAGAATCCTTCAATCTTCCCCTTTTATATGCACAAGCAAATTGTAGCTGCACATTTAATGCATCCAGTGTACTGAAACTGTTTATCAGTGTATCACAGTTACCAATGACTAAACTATCAATTTAAAACCGATTTGGTTTTAAAAGAAGTGTTTGAATATATATGTAGTCATTTGGGGGGATTTTATATATCACCAGTACTCATGTTATGGAATCACGTGCCATTTGTATTTTCTGTACCTTTCAGATCTTTTGAAGGTACGTTGTACAAAAGAGGAGCTTTACTAAAAGGCTGGAAACCTCGCTGGTTTGTGCTGGATGTGACAAAACACCAGGTAAAACCTTTTCAGATAATGGATGTGTTTATTACTAGTTTGATGCTTTTTTTTACTTACTGGATTTGTCTAGACTGATTTTTACAAATAATACTAATGATGATGAGTTTCAGACACGATGTATGTGTTATATCACTGTAGACCATGTATCTGTGTTTATCTTGTGTATCTTGTAGCTGATACAGCATTCTGAATGGACATAGGTGTTTTAGTATTTTGGGGGGTTTAAAACATTGATAACCGTTTATCATATAATGATAAAAGACTTCTTGGACTGAAAGTTATGCATTATTGTTTGGGCCTAAACATTTTTTGCCTGCTTCATACCTCAGGGAAAAAAAAAGCCAAGTAGTGCCTGAGAATATTCTCTGGGCACTGTGGTATACAAGTAATTTTTTAAAGCACTGCTAACTCTAGAATGTCATTAAACACTTAAGTGGCGAGCATAATTGGCCCTATAATATGGCCTCTTTAGTTTCCAAAAGAACTGAAAACTCTTTCTGAACTAGAAAGTGAAAAATTTAGAAGGTGCAGTTGGGAAGCTGAGAGCAATGTGGTAACTGATGGCAAGTTTAATTCAGGCATTCATGTTGAAACTCTAGTAGTTCCTGTGTGCTCAGTGTGTATTTTACAGCCTCAAGATCTTTGCCATGAGCATTTTTATTTGCTAGAAAAAAGGGATGATATACTCTGGAAAATCATCATCTGAATTGCTTCAGCAGAAAATCTATTTACATCACTGGATTTTTAGTGTTTTTCTGTAACCTGTGTTTGAGAAAGCTGGCCTGGAATCTCTGTATGAAAGTCTTTTCCCATATGGAGAACAGGATCACAGATCGCTCTGAAATGAATTTGAGTTTTTTAAATGACGTAAAATGAGTTAAAATTTCATCTCAAATCTGTATTTCTGAAAGTCCTGAAATGCCAAGTTCCTGATAGAACAGTAATTTCAGGTGCCATATACAGAGCTATTTTAGATTAGTCATAGTGACATAAATTTAGTATCAGAAGTATCCATAAATATTCTGACAAATCACTGAACAGCAAGGAACGCTCAAAACAAAGGCGATAAGTTGCTCTAAATATTTTAACCAGATTACAGTGTATGCCAGAATTCTGCAGTGGAAATCTGTAGTCTCGTGTACTTTAAATAATGTTGGGTCGTCAGGCATAATCGTTATTGAGCCAAATATTCCACACAGTGTGGGTTGTAACCTCTGAGACTCATGTATGCCACTGTTTAAAAACAGCAATTTATTGTAATCAATACACTTAAAAAATACATAAGATAAAGACAGTATCTAATTAATGTTTTTAAATGCTAATTGAGGGTTTCTAGATTAGTATTGTAAAATACTAACAAATGTGCTGATTATAATTATCCTTCCTGATGTACAGGAGGAAAGGTTCATTTTGCAGAAGGAAGAAATACTTTAACACTTTTTGTATATCCAAATAGCCTCCTGAGTATCATAGATGTAGGTGTAATACAGGTCAGTCTTCATTGGAATTCTGTTTTTTGACCTTTGCTGTGAAGGCTTGTTTTACTTTTTTGCATCAGTTTATGGTATTTTATGGTGGGCTTTTTTCCTCTTGAAAAGCAAGTATCAGATTTTTCTCTTCTGGAACTTGTTTGCATATTGAAACTCAGTTTACAGAGTGGTTAACATTCATATCAAAGTATCTTTGCAAGGAGAAAAAAAAAGCTTCATTCAACCACTAACTGCAGTATAGAAAAATGTAAGTTTTCTATGTAGTTTATAATTATCTGCAATTATGCTTGAATTTTTGCTGATCATTTTAAATTTGTGAAATATAGAGAGTGTCTTCTGTTAACTCCTGGCTGAAGTAAAGCTTTTACGTTAGTTTCAATGTACTGAGCAGTGAAGAGGTGGTTTCTGTTAGAAAAACTGGTAAGGTATGCTGAGTCCTAAAGACCAGGTTCTGCTTTAGCCTGTGCATGCCTTCTGCCCAGGAGTAATGCATGGCTATTGGAAGCTTCTCCGCTCTGAAACTGCTGACAAAATGCTCCTCCCCACCTCCATGTCTGCACAGGAGTGGGTGGTGGAGACTTCGCCATTGCTCTGAGAGGTCAAATACATAGAGGACTGGCCAATTAAGGGCTATCACCAGGCTCACCATTTTATATCTACAAAAACTGTGGTTTCTGTCAGTTGTGTCTTAGAAATGCCCCATGTCTGATGTCCTCGGGTCTTAATAATGCTTGTGCCTCCCGCCCTTACCCCTCCATGCCCCAAGGTTGCATCCAGGAAAGGGAAAGTAGTAGTAAAAGGTCCGTCTGAATAGCATGTTTGGATTTTTTTTTTTCTCTTGTGGTCTAGCTGCGATACTATGATTCTGGTGAGGATACAAGCTGTAAGGGACACATCGACCTCGCAGAAGTAGAAACTGTGATTCCTGCTTCGCCAACAATTGGAGCCCCAAAACATGCAAGTGAAAAGGCATTTTTTGATGTAAGTATATCTGGTCTTTACTTGCTCTTTACATGAAAATTTCTTCCCTGGGGGTGTTTAACCTACTACGTTCAGTCCTGCTGGAAGGTGTGAGCTGGGGAGGAGCTATCACGCCAGCTCAAGACAAAAAGTTTTTACACAGCTAGCATCCGGCCCTCGCTCTGAATAGCAGTTCAGAAAATGTTACAGTCAGACCAATTAAATACACTGAGTATTGCAGTTTAAAGCTTGCAAGTTTCTTGTTGTTTTGTGTTGATGTATTCATCTTCATGCTCTTCTCTTTCCTTTGCAGTTGAAGACAAATAAACGTGTGTATAATTTTTGTGCCCAAGATGCACAGAGTGCTCAACAATGGATGGATAGGATCCAGAGTTGCATTTCAGATGCTTAGAAAGGAAAAATGTTCTATAATAAAAGACACGTTTAAAGCACCTCTTCCTGTAAGAAGCTAAGTTCTGAAATGTTACTGACAGACAACCAGCCTTCCTTTCGTTACAGTCATAACAGTTCATAATATGCTAAAGTTCCTTTTTGGTTTAATAATCATAACCACTGTAACTTCTATTTTTTTTTTTTTTCCCTGCAGGGAGGACTTTGAAAAATAATAATTAATTTATCCTGAATTTCCAATTTCTTCAGTACAATTCCTAGCTATAAAATGGGCTGTATTTGCACTATCATCTAACCCTGGCTTTCTCATTTCAGAGCTGTTCTGTTAGGAAACCTGTCCAAAGGAAATTGTAGAAATTTTCCCTCCAATAGGAAGTGTATTTGCACTCTCTTCATACTTTTAAACAGAATGTTTTTATTTCCAAGCTAGTCATGAGTAAGAGGGGACATGTCTACAATTCCTAGAAATAAATGAATGAATGAAGCTTGTAAGTCCTTTGACATACCTATATCAGGTTGCCAGTGTTTATAGACTGTTGATACTTTTACAGACCAAAAAGTGAAATTGCCCAATACAAGACTTTCAAGTGTCTTCTCAGTGTGCAGGTCATTCTCTGAACTTAGGCTCTACTGAGTGCTTCTGCAATGTTTTTATGGAGCTTCACATTCTAAAGATTATCTGAAGATCATAGCACTTTTATTTTAGGTTCTGTTTGCAATTACAGTGGGATAAATGAAAGAAAACTGGCTGACATTATCCAGGAGAAACAGAACACAACAAACTAGGAATTCAGTAGAAGAAAGATCTGTTATGTGTGAGTTGTATATGTTAATTTATGTGCTGTTCTGCTCACTGTAAAATAAATAACAAACATAATGCACTAAACAATGAAGCAAGCACTTGCACTGAAATCTTAAAAATGCAGACATTTTGCAGACAGAGGTAAGTTATTTATAGCAGAACAATACTAGCTAGTTAACAACATTTACTGATATTAAATATGTACATAATCAAGTTTGATGTGTCGTGATTTGATACTTTTTAAACATTTTTTGCACATGGATTGGAAGACTGTTTATAGATTTTTACATTTGATAAAATTGTGTTGGTTCAGCTTAAAATCCCGGTGAAACATTTTTAATAGCCCCAAATCAGTATAAATTTCAGTCTACAAATATTGATGACATTGAGTGGAATATGTAGGTAATTAAGCCATTGTTTTTATTTTGAAATGTTAATATGTTAAATAGCACACTAATATTACAAAGGGTTTGTATATATGATTCACTATTTTCGCATTTTTCCAGACGTTCCGCTTGTAATTTAATGTCAGCCTAACCAAACTGACTATACTTACAAGATTTTTCAGTTATTAAATTGTTTGTGGTTTTTTTTATAACTAATGTCTTTTGTCAGAAAGGAACATAAATTTCTCACCATACACAATAGGAAATGCAGCTGTTTTTAATGCATTTGCAGTTTCAAAACAAAAATATGAAGGATTTTTCTAGCATTTTTCAATTGACAAATTTCCACCTGTGACAATGGTGTTTGCACATTTGTATTTTTCTTTGTATATGAAGTACTTTTATATGTACTTTGTAAAATACTGATCCTGTTCTTAGGTTATATGAAAATATACATACCACTGCTTATTTTGTAACTAGTTAATTTTAACTCTTGTATGTTATGTGATATATGTATGCTAACTGTCTTGTAATAAATACACTTCTTAAGGAAAAGTAAAACCTTTCCTTTTACTGTAAAAGAGAAGAAAGCAAGACCCACATGTTGAAACATTTCCACAGGCACAAGACAAATCCTTACTTACTCTGTATTAAGAATAGTGTGGGTGTATTAAAAACCATGTGGTTTTCTGTATACTTGTAAATATTCTTACATACAAGTTGCACTTGAGCATCCTTAACTCAAACACTTGTCAACAGTTACACTAAAAACTGAAGAAATCAGAATTTAAAGCAAAATTATCATTCTAACAAGTCTCAAAGTATAGCCTTTACTAAAAGGCTAAAGACATATAATTTTCATACTAAGTCATTGAATAATGATGTTAAATACATACTTTTTTAAAAAGAATCCTCTATGGTATCACAACATAAATCAACTGCATACTTTCACCCTGAAATGTATCTCACTCGTTTATATCACCTTATGCAAAAATGGTCTAGCTGAGAAGAAATAAAATACTTGAGAAATGACAATGTCTTAGGTGAGAATGTTGCATCTAAATTGAATTACTGAGTGTAGTGGGGGATAGCAGGGTTAAAATGGAAAGGGAATGTGTGACAGAGGTAGGGGACCTGTGACAGTTCTTGGATGCCGTGGTGCTTAGATGATAAGGATTGCATATTGAGCTTGGCATGGATGCTAATGTTGCCTTAAATGTTGATCTCAATTTTCAGTGTCTGTATTGATGGAAAATGGACTTGAGCAACTTAACTTAAAAATATCCAAATAAAAGCTGAAATACGATATATGATATTTGTGGTGTTTATGTAAGAAAAATACAGAGGAATGGTAATCGTAAGCTTTTAGTGTGAAGACACAAAGTTTGCAGTGTCCTTGAGGGTCTCTTCAGTACACAATGGAGATTGAAACAGACGTAGAGTAAGCATGGGGAAGTTAGCGTAGAATAAGCTACAAGGTTAGTCACTGTGTTTGAGTTGTGGCAGTAGAGGTGGAGAACTAGGAACAGAAACTTTGCTTGGGAAAAATTCTGTGTACAAAGGGATCCATCTTCATAGTGTGACATTTTTTCAGAAAAAGGAAGTCATCCAGGAGTTGGGGATGAGGTAAACATGTGCTCCCTCTGTTGTGTTGTATCACTGTTCCCATACTCTGTATCGTAACATTCCTACTGTAGATAAGAGTATTATCAAGGGCTTTACATATGGGAAGAAGATTCCTTGCTGTTCTCTCTGTTGAGTAATGAAATGCCTGCATAGTAGGTAACAGGATGAACTGAGTTTGAGTTGTTACTGGTGTATTACGTTAGCAATTCCTCTTTCCCATCTAACATACAAGTATCTTCTATAAAAGTCCTTAACTTTTGATGGAACTAGTATACTAAATAATAAAATACTTAGCATGCCACATGTGTGGGTCATTGGTTATGTAATAATACACAAACAGCTAACAGACCCAGGAACAAATGTTCAAAACTTTGTATCACATCCCACACACATTATTTGTATCTGATATTTTGTGAATTGCAGACATAACAAAAATGTAGTGATCTTGTCCAAATACTGTCATTTTGCCTTTTCATCCTGTAATATTCTTGGAGTAGGTCTAAGTGGCTACACCACATTTCTCATTTTTCATATTTGTGATCATCCAAATATTTTCTCTGTTCATGATTATCCTGTGGTTGCTTTGGGGAGTCAGAAAACTGAAATGAATCTACCAGTTCCTCAGTTATGCTGAAGTTCATGCCGAGTATCACTGTTGCACCTAGTTTCTCAGGTTTTGTCTGTATTTGATTGGTTTCTTCTCAAAGTTTGGCTGCTTTGCAAGCCAAGGACAATATTAGCATCCACATTCCCATTTAGGAGATTTTCATCTTTGATTTTTTTCACACAGAGCTTTTTCTTGATTGATTGTCAACTAAGGATGCTGCGAGTTCATTATTGTTTCCTCTCTTTACTTACAAGGCCAACTAGCCTCTCAAAGGAAAGGATTACTAATACAAATATTGTTGATAAGAATTGTTTTGGTGGGGTTTTCTTGCATAATACAAAAGCTCCAAGGACTACTTTTACATTTTTTTGATTTTTCTGCTGTAGACCTTTCCAGTCTAAGCTCCTGTGTCTTTTCACCCAAAAGAGACTCTTTGGTTCTTTAATTCACTACTCTTAAAGATTGTAAGAGCAACTAAATTAAGTGTAATCAACTACGGCTACCATCTTTATCCAGAATCACACTCCAGTAATGAAAACCCAGCTACTGCCTTCCCTTCTTACCACTGACAGTTACGGAAGTTTCTCCTTCATCAGAAGACTGCCCATCGAGAGCTGAAGGGACCCAGCACTGATGTCATTTCTCGTCTCGCAAGCAACTATGGAATAAACACAGCTTTAGTTGAGATTGTCATAATGCTCACCTGAGTCATTCCTGAGAAGACAAGGAGTCTTTCTTAAACTGAGATACCTGGTTTCACATGTGGTCTCTGTATGTTACTCCTAGAAAGTTCTCAAAACCCGTTCTTAGAGCAAAATATAAAATCTGTGGTTTTAAGGCAGACTCTCCAACATAATTTATTTGTTTATACCTTGATCTCTGTGCAAACCCTACAAACCGAAGATGTGCTAGTGACAGCTGAATTGTAATTCCAGATTGCTAGTGATATCTACCCAAAATACTGTCTTACTTGTTTCACGGAAGTCTAATCTGATTGATCTCTGCTTCTCAAAAATATTCCTCATTGTTAACATCCAGTGGGAAATTAAATTTTGTCCAGTTTCAGGTTTTATCATATCTCAAGCTTCTTCCTTTCTCTTCAGACGTGGCTTACATGACAGTTAGCACGTTTATGAATAGGAAATGTTGCTTGATTGTGGCAAGTTGACTGTTGCTAATGTCCATTGTCTGCTCTTTGGAAAAGATGTTTTCTTATGTGTCTTCTAGGAGATTCTTAGAGAGCCTATACTTTTATCTGTGAAATAAGCAATAATAGCAGATAGAATTAGTTAGACTAAAAGGACCAAAGTATTATCCTGGAAGGAGATATGAAGGTGGTAGTTGTTTCAAATATGGAATGGTACTTCTTCTGCCCCTCATAGTCACCTAGAAAAACCTGAGGCATAGTCTTGGTTTAAAGTTGTATTTGTTGATGACTTATTTATCAGTGTATATTGACAAAATAACAATGTATACATTGCTTTTTAATGAATTTCACTGTTTCACTCACTAAGGATTCTTATGTTTAAAATTCACTCAGCCTGTCACCAAACAGGACCTCCAAAACCTGTAGTGTCCCTTTGTGTTAGAAATCTCCATTAATTGTCCGAATTTTATACTAGGTACAACATCCCTGTTTAATGATGAACAGATGAGACTGCTTTGATTTTAACACCCAGGGTGAGTGTTCTGTGCAAATGCTTTCTCAAGAAGGAGAAATTAGCAAGTTGCTCAAGAAATGAGCATCACACTGACAGCACTGAAGGCTCTGCCAGGTTACACTGGCTAAGGACTGTCTTCATTAGTAGTACCAGTGAGTTCAAAATTCTATTCACATCAAGACCTCCAGTAAGTTGAAAATAGAAGTTCATAAAATTGTATATAATTGTGAATTAAGCTCAATGTAGTAAGCTGTAGTACAGGTAAAATCGCTCATGTTTAAATGCTTACATGTTCAGGGTTTGCATATGTTGCATTGGTTTTGTGCCACCAAAATTGTTCAGACTTTGATTTTTATTTCTGCTGTGCTCAGATTAGCACTG